ATGTATTGTATTGCTTAGAAGTAATGAGTAATGAAATCTGTTCCTCCCAAACACATGCGTTTGAGGTTGTTTTTATAGAGAAAACATGATTAATGCGACCATTTACTGCTCATAATCGCGTTGATACACATTAATCATGTAAGTTACAATTTGACCGAAACGGCTTGAATTTGAATTATCTTTGACTTCGCATGGACCTTCCGAACTCTTTCTTGTTGACTCCGAACTCCCGCGTCTTGACGCTGCCGCGAGCCTCGAACAATATTCTCCTTTCTTCGGCCTTTCTCTATGCGAACTGTATGTTAAATAAGAGTGAACTCCGTACTGGTAAAGATCGAACTCTTTTAGTAGACTGAATCGAACTCCCGACTGGTTAAGTGCGATTCTTATAATAAAATATCTTTAATTCCAAGAGGATTATTATGTAATAATGACGTGGACAGATCCAAGTGGATCCTACCGAAAATGTGTGGGATCCGACCCCAACATTTAGCCCGAAAATGTGTGGGAAGACTTAAATAAACAGTAAATAATGATTCGAGATCTTTAACATTCTGGAATTATTCCATGTTTTACGCTATTACGCTGATCTCGGATAATCAAGTGATTTGATATCTCTGACAACCGTCATCATTAATTACTTAATTTTATATTAATACTGCTGGGAAAAACTGTCCCACTTCCCTATACTCTCGAGGCGGTTTTGCATCATACTTTAGGGTTCTAAGAGGTAAAATTACTTTTCCATCTTATCTTCTTTACTTAGAGAACTTTCATTCTTATTACAGAAGTCATTGTTTCCTTCCGGTAAAAAATCCCTCTTGTAAATGTCGAACCTTTCTTCCGAGTTTCGCGAGTATGAAGTTGATGACCTCGAAGCCCTCATGGGTGAAGGATCCGAACCTCAAATCCATACCGGAGACGAGTTTGATCTTCACCCTCAGAGTGAATCGACTGTCAATTCTCTTGACGATCTCCGTAGACTATGTCACATCCCCCCTGAGGTGGAGATGATAGTCCCGGAGCCCTTCGAGTCTCCTGAGTCGGGGCGAGAAGGTTACTGATGCGCCTATGAAATTTATTTCAAAGGTTGCGGCTTATTCTTTCCCCTTCCTGAGATACTTCTCACCTACCTCAACCATCTGGGAATTGCCTTTTCTCAGATGTTGCCCAACATGCTTCGGTATCTTTTGTGTACCTTTACTATTGCGGCGGAGACGGGTTACTCGCTGGGACTTTGCGAGCTCTTGAAACTTTTCCAGGCTCGCGAATCCCGAACTTCTGGGTATTATGCCCTTTATCTGATCGCGGATCGGAATCTTATTGACGGCCTGCCTTTAAAGGACAACGCCTGGAGGAAGTTTTGGTTCTTCTTCCGCATAAATAATTTTTCTACTCTGAGTTCTTCCGAACTCCTTCGAATTCACTGGTCATCGAATTTGGGTAGAAACTAGGACTTAACTGAATAAATTTCCTACATTATTTCAAACTGCGATTCAACATTTAATTGTTTTCTCACAGGTCCCCAGATTCGGCCAGTCCCATCCATTGATCTTCTCAACTTCTACAAAGCCGTCGTGGAAAGGCCAGTTAATTGGAATTCCTTTACTTTGGAAAGAATTCACGGCGCCAGATTCTCTGTTTGAATGGGCCTAACTAACCTCATCGACCCTCCTCCTGCTGGGATTGATCTCTCGAGTCTGAATGCCCGAGACAGGAGAAAGATCAAAGAGGCAAACAAAAAGGTCAAAGATCAGATTTCCCTGGTCGAGAAAAACAAGAAAAATGCAACCTCCACCGGGGACGACAAAGTCTATCGGAAAACTCTTCTAGTTGACGATGGATCCCTTGAAGGTTCAAAGTCGATGGCGGTTGCCGTAAACAATGATCCTCCCTCTACCCAGCAACAGACAACGTGGTCGCTGCTACTGTCAAAGAGGAAGGCCTTACAGGTGATTCTTCTCTCATAAAGAAGAGGAAGGCTGAGGAACTTGAACCCCCGCTCCAGGGGCGTCCTAGGAACACAAGGAAGAGCAAAGCTGCTCCTTCGAATCCATCGATTCCTGAATCTGCTGAAGCTCAGGATGTAAATCCTGATTCAGGAATTGTTTTAAAGGAACCGATGGGCTCAGGGAGGCTACCCCCTAGACGCCCCCGAGGCAATACCTCTAGGGTATGACTCCATCTAACACTATTCTCAGCTCTGTCTTACTTTCTGAACGATCTCCTGAACAATCTTCTGAACGATCTTCTGAACGATCTCCTGAACCTCACCCTGATCTACCCGAAACAAGACTAAATCTCTATCGAGAACCCGCTCTGATACCAATTGTAAGTGCGGATGAGGTACGATAAATTGTAGAAAGTAAACGAGAAAAGAAATTTGTTAACGAGGTTCGGTTTTTCCTACTCCCCGGGACCAAGTCCAGATTTCGATTTCACTAGAACAAGAAAGCAAATTATTACCAATTCGCAAACGCGTAAAACAAGCCCAACCCTCTTGATTTACCGCTCCCTTCTATAACGTGAAACCTTAAGGATAATCTCTACCCTTAACTAAACTCCCCTTGAGTCTAGATTTAATCAGGATAACCTAACCCTGAGCTAAACTCCACTTGAGCCTAGACTTCAAAACAAAACCACTTGATCACACAAGCACAAAACCCGCAAAACTAAGTTGCACAAAACCGCGAAACTATGTCGCACACACCCTCAGAAAGCTCTCAATGATTTGCCTCTATGCCTCAGCTCTCTTGCCTCTCCAAGACGTCCCCAGCTCCTCCTTATATAGCCAAAACAATTTCCTAATCACCATAGGAGAAGATTTCCAATTTCCATAAGAAAAAGTAAATTTCCTTTTATACTTTTCCTTTTTCTCTTCAAACTCTACTTTCATCAAGTCTTCCAAATCTCTTTAAGTCCTTTTTCCTTTGTGATTCATCCTCTAAACACGCTCCAAACACATCTTCTCAAACCTTCTAGAAACCGACACTTACACAAAAACAGTCGCATCTTGACATACTTCTTGAATCATTCAGAAACTCCATCAGACAAAATCTTGTTTTACTTCTTGACTCATTCAACAACTTCATCAGACTGCAGCTACATCTTCATACGTTTAGGTGTTTCCACACCCGCTCTGGGAAGAAACTTCTATCCTTTGAGTGGTGGAAGCCTGAAGTCAAGAAGATGTACATCAGTCATTCATTCAACTCCTCGCAGGTTTGACTATTTGCATCCTTAAACAATCGATTTCGAAAAATCTTTTTTTTTTTTATGCATCTTCTTTCATTAGGGAAACTTTGGACCTGAACGGCATCATCAACTATTACGAAGAGGAAATTGCCAAAGTTTCCAAGAGAGCTGCTATTGCTGAAAAAGAGATTGAGAAACTGCAATCTTCCAATCGGCTCGTGCAGGAGATTACTGGCCTTGACTCGGCTCGTCAGGAAGAAATCGAGCGACTCAAAAAATCTGACCAGGAGATGAGGAAGATTTTGATTGAAACTGAGCAGAGGCTAGAGACTGCTCTTGCTGATCATAACCTTGCAATGAGCAAGATCGAACTCCTGAGATCAGAGCTTGATAGGGTCAAAACAGCTGCTGAGGAGCTCGAGCGCAAAAATCAGTCTCTTTCCGAACTGAATGATCGAGATGTTTGCAAATTATCTCACGATGCTCGTAAAGAGGTCAAAGGAGCTGGGCAAAAGTTTCTTCTTGCTGTGCAGGAATTTGTCATTGCAGATAAAGCTTGGAACAAACTCAGCTCCGAACGTGATGCGATGAAGAGCAATCTCGATCTGATCAAGGAGATAGAGGAAGGATCAGTCAATTTGGCTGAAGAGAAGGAGACAGTGGGCGTTGAGCTCGCTGAGACTGAAGCTAAGCTAGCTAATGCTCCCAGCCATATTTGGATTTGCAGCAGTTTGCTTCTGAAGTCGCTAATTCCCCACCATCGACTGAAACAAATATTGGTTTGTCTTTGGATGAAATGATGTTAACCGGTTCTCATCGTGCTCATTTCGATGAGTTTGGAACCAATGTTGACAAAATTTCTTTGGAACGAACTCAGGGGTTCTCTAGTAAGGATTCCGCCACTTCCTCGATTATGGAAGATGACTCCGAACCGAGGAGCGAAACTCCCCAGGATGCTAGCTCGCTTATCCCTGAGGTGGTTTTCGAGACTCAAGATGCTACCGCCGGGGGTGCTCCGGTCTCAAGCCAAGTAGGAGATGAAAGAGGTTCGCCTATGAATGAATGATGGTGATTGTATTCACCTTTTATGGGGATTGTCCTTTTAATTTTTAAGACATGAAATTTGCTTTGTTGGCCATGGGGCCTTTTATCTCTTTTCGAGTTTTCTGCCCAAGGGGGCTTTTTTTTTTTTTTTTTTTTGTTTTGAATAATTTTCTTCAAGGGGTTTTTAATAAAAATTTCTTTAGGAAGAAATATTAAATTTTGGTGGAAACCATCGATTTTACCTGGAGGGTTTGCAAAGTCCTTCTAACCGAAATGGTTTAAGATTACAGGAGAGATAGGCTGATCAGACATACTTGCCTTTTTTAAAGGAAAAACATTGGAATTTTTCCTCGGTCTCTCGGTTGCGAGGTTGGAGCTCGGCTTACTAGAACACTTCGCAATACTTCGAATGTGTTCGATTTAGAGAAATTTCTAGTGAGAACTATTCGCTTTCTCTAAAAAGATAAAAAGGTGTGATACCATTTATTGATTGGCTTCGAATTTCGAGTTCGAAATTATGTTTTGCCTACTAGGTGCTAAGTGATACTTGATTGACCTATATTTCGTAGGTCTTGTTTGTGCATGTACACGAAAATCGAAAGGTTGCAACTGTCAAATCAATAGATTGACGTTTAACTTCCTTTTTAATAAATACTCGAGTGAGCAAGTTTATATATTTCCTTTATATAAGGAGAATAAGATTTTGGACATTTCCCGAAAAATCTTTTCTTCACAAGGAACTTTGCAATTTCCTTTTTACGATGACCTCTCCCCAGGGCGAACCTTCCGATCCCAATCCACCACGATTCCCTTCGGGTGAATTTTCGTTTCTGACAGGGGTCGGATTCACTCCACAAGGGGTGGCCATTCCTTGCTTTCTTTCTTCCATGTCTAAGGAAGAAAAGATCGAGTGCCATGAATTCATGGAACAGGTTTGAACCCAATACCAGTCGTTTCAGGGTTTTACCCGATAGTTTTGTAACGTATATATTCTTTGCAGATAACCGAAAGGTACGTCTTCCTTTGCTCCAAAAGGCAACGCCTTGGAAGGAAACGCCGTGTTTCTTGAGGACCGGATTGCTAGAACTGAAAGGAAAATCCGACGTTTGGAGTCGGATGTTCCTAAAATTGTAGCCAGAGCTTCATCCCAATCAGGTAACTTTTTAATTAGTGTTTTGTTACTTGAGATTAACTGACTTTTTCGAAAACTCAATCCTCTCTTTAATATCTTTATTCTAGATAAAGAGTAGATTGGGAATACGTTTAGGTTTTTCCACACCCGCTCTGGGAAGAAACCTCTATCCTTTGAGTGGTGGAAGCCTGAAGTCAAGAAGATGTACATCAGTCATTCATTCAACTCCTCGCAGGTTTGACTATTTGCATCCTTAAACAATCGATTTCGAAAAATCTTTTTTTCTTATGCATCTTCTTTCATTAGGGAAACTCTGGACCTGAACGACATCATCAACTATTACGAAGAGGAACTTGCCAAAGTTTCCAAGAGAGCTGCTATTGCTGAAAAAGAGATTGAGAAACTGCAATCTTCCAATCGGCTCGTGCAGGAGACTACTGGCCTTGACTCGACTCGTCAGGAAGAGATCGAGCGACTCAAAAAATCTGACCAGGAGACGAGGAAGATTTTGATTGAAACTGAGCAGAGGCTAGAGACTGCTCTTGCTGATAATAACCTTGCCATGAGCGAGATCGAACTCCTGAGATCAGAGCTTGATAGGGTCAAAACAGCTGCTGAGGAGCTCGAGCGCAAAAATCAGTCTCTTTCCGAACTGAATGATCGAGATGTTTGCAAATTATCTCACGATGCTCGGAAAGAGGTCAAAGGAGCCGGGCAAAAGTTTCTTCTTGCTGTGCAGGAATTTGTCACTACAGATAAAGCTTGGAACAAACTCAGCTCCGAACGTGATGAGATGAAGAGTAATCTCGATCAGATCAAGGAGATAGAGGAAGGATCAGTCAATTTGGCTGAAGAGAAGGAGACAGTGGGCGCTGAGCTCGCTGAGACTGAAGCTAAGCTAGCTAATGCTCCCCAGCCATATTTGGATTTGCAGCAGTTTGCTTCCGAGTTCGCTGATTCCCCTCCATCGACTGAACCAAATATTGGTTTGTCTTTGGATGAAATGATGTTAATCGGTTCTCATCGTGCTCATTTCGATGAGTTTGGAACCAATGTTGACAAAATATCTTTGGAACGAACTCAGGGGTTCTCTAGTAAGGATTCCGCCACTTCCTCGATTATGGAAGATGACTCCGAACCGAGGAGCGAAACTCCCCAGGATGCTAGCTCGCTTATCCCTGAGGTGGTTTTCGAGACTCAAGATGCTACCGTCGGGGGTGCTCCTGTCTCAAGCCAAGTAGGAGATGAAAGCGGTTCGCCTATGAATGAATGATGGTGATTGTATTCACCTTTTATGGGGATTGTTCCTTTAATTTTTAAGACATGAAATTTGCTTTGTTGGCCATGGGGCCTTTTATCTCTTTTCGAGTTTTCTGCCCAAGGGGGCTTTTTTTTTTTTTTTGTTGTTTTGAATAATTTGCCTAAGGGGGTTTTTAATAAAAATTTCTTTAGGAAGAAATATTAAATTTTGGTGGAAACCATCGATTTTACCTAGAGGGTTTGCAAAGTCCTCCTAACCGAAATGGTTTAAGATTACAGGAGAGATAGGCTGATCAGACCTACTTGCCTTTTTTAAAGGAAAAACATTGGAATTTTTCCTCGGTCTCTCGGTTGCGAGGTTGGAGCTCGGCTTACTAGAACACTTCGCAATACTTCGAATGTGTTCGATTTAGAGAAATTTCTAGTGAGAACTTTTCGCTTTCTCTAAAAAGATAAAAAGGTGTGATACCATTTATTGATTGGCTTCGAATTTCGAGTTCGAAATTATGTTTTGCCTACTAGGTGCTAAGTGATACTTGATTGACCTATATTTCGTAGGTCTTGTTTGTGCATGTACACGAAAATCGAAAGTTGCAACTGTCAAATCAATAGATTGACGTTTAACTTCCTTTTTAATAAATACTCGAGTGAGCAAGTTTATATATTTCCTTTATATAAGGAGAATAAGATTTTGGACATTTCCCGAAAAATCTTTTCTTCACAAGGAACTTTGCAATTTCCTTTTTACGATGACCTCTCCCCAGGGCGAAAATTCCGATCCCAATCCACCACGATTCCCTTCGGGTGAATTTTCGTTTCCGACAGGGGTCGGATTCTCTCCACAAGGGGTGGCCATTCCTTGCTTTCTTTCTTCCATGTCTAAGGAAGAAAAGATCGAGTGCCATGAATTCATGGAACAGGTTTGAACCCAATACCAGTCGTTTCAGGGTTTTACCCGATAGTTTTGTAACGTATATATTCTTTGCAGATAACCGAAAGGTACGTCTTCCTTTGCTCCAAAAGGCAACGCCTTGGAAGGAAACGCCGTGTCCTTGAGGACCGGATTGCTAGAACTGAAAGGAAAATCCGAGGTTTGGAGTCGGATGTTCCTAAAATTGTAGCCAGAGCTTCATCCCAATCAGGTAACTTTTTAATTAGTGTTTTGTTACTTGAGATTAACTGACTTTTTCGAAAACTCAATCCTCTCTTTAATATCTTTATTCTAGATAAAGAGTAGATTGGGAATACGTTTAGGTTTTTCCACACCCGCTCTGGGAAGAAACTTCTATCCTTTGAGTGGTGGAAGCCTGAAGTCAAGAAGATGTACATCAGTCATTCATTCAACTCCTCGCAGGTTTGACTATTTGCATCCTTAAACAATCGATTTCGAAAAATCTTTTTTTCTTATGCATCTTCTTTCATTAGGGAAACTCTGGACCTGAACGACATCATCAACTATTACGAAGAGGAACTTGCCAAAGTTTCCAAGAGAGCTGCTATTGCTGAAAAAGAGATTGAGAAACTGCAATCTTCCAATCAGCTCGTGCAGGAGACTACTGGCCTTGACTCGACTCGTCAGGAAGAGATCGAGCGACTCAAAAAATCTGACCAGGAGACGAGGAAGATTTTGATTGAAACTGAGCAGAGGCTAGAGACTGCTCTTGCTGATAATAACCTTGCCATGAGCGAGATCGAACTCCTGAGATCAGAGCTTGATAGGGTCAAAACAGCTGCTGAGGAGCTCGAGCGCAAAAATCAGTCTCTTTCCGAACTGAATGATCGAGATGTTTGCAAATTATCTCACGATGCTCGGAAAGAGGTCAAAGGAGCCGGGCAAAAGTTTCTTCTTGCTGTGCAAGAATTTGTCACTGCAGATAAAGCTTGGAACAAACTCAGCTCCGAACGTGATGAGATGAAGAGTAATCTCGATCAGATCAAGGAGATAGAGGAAGGATCAGTCAATTTGGCTGAAGAGAAGGAGACAGTGGGCGCTGAGCTCGCTGAGACTGAAGCTAAGCTAGCTAATGCTCCCCAGCCATATTTGGATTTGCAGCAGTTTGCTTCCGAGTTCGCTGTTTCCCCTCCATCGACTGAACCAAATATTGGTTTGTCTTTGGATGAAATGATGTTAACCGGTTCTCATCGTGCTCATTTCGATGAGTTTGGAACCAATGTTGACAAAATATCTTTGGAACGAACTCAGGGGTTCTCTAGTAAGGATTCCGCCACTTCCTCGATTATGGAAGATGACTCCGAACCGAGGAGCGAAACTCCCCAGGATGCTAGCTCGCTTATCCCTGAGGTGGTTTTCGAGACTCAAGATGCTACCGTCGGGGGTGCTCCTGTCTCAAGCCAAGTAGGAGATGAAAGCGGTTCGCCTATGAATGAATGATGGTGATTGTATTCACCTTTTATGGGGATTGTTCCTTTAATTTTTAAGACATGAAATTTGCTTTGTTGGCCATGGGGCCTTTTATCTCTTTTCGAGTTTTCTGCCCAAGGGGGCTTTTTTTTTTTTTTTTGTTGTTTTGAATAATTTGCCTAAGGGGGTTTTTAATAAAAATTTCTTTAGGAAGAAATATTAAATTTTGGTGGAAACCATCGATTTTACCTAGAGGGTTTGCAAAGTCCTCCTAACCGAAATGGTTTAAGATTACAGGAGAGATAGGCTGATCAGACCTACTTGCCTTTTTTAAAGGAAAAACATTGGAATTTTTCCTCGGTCTCTCGGTTGCGAGGTTGGAGCTCGGCTTACTAGAACACTTCGCAATACTTCGAATGTGTTCGATTTAGAGAAATTTCTAGTGAGAACTATTCGCTTTCTCTAAAAAGATAAAAAGGTGTGATACCATTTATTGATTGGCTTCGAATTTCAAGTTCGAAATTATGTTTTGCCTACTAGGTGCTAAGTGATACTTGATTGACCTATATTTCGTAGGTCTTGTTTGTGCATGTACACGAAAATCGAAAGGTTGCAACTGTCAAATCAATAGATTGACGTTTAACTTCCTTTTTAATAAATACTCGAGTGAGCAAGTTTATATATTTCCTTTATATAAGGAGAATAAGATTTTGGACATTTCCCGAGAAATCTTTTCTTCACAAGGAACTTTGCAATTTCCTTTTTACGATGACCTCTCTCCAGGGCGAACCTTCCGATCCCAATCCACCACGATTCCCTTCGGGTGAATTTTCGTTTCCGACATGGGTCGGATTCACTCCACAAGGGGTGGCCATTCCTTGCTTTCTTTCTTCCATGTCTAAGGAAGAAAAGATCGAGTGCCATGAATTCATGGAATAGGTTTGAACCCAATACCAGTCGTTTCAGGGTTTTACCCGATAGTTTTGTAATGTATTTATTCTTTGCAGATAACCGAAAGGTACGTCTTCCTTTGCTCCAAAAGGCAACGCCTTGGAAGGAAACGCCGTGTCCTTGAAGACCGGATTGCTAGAACTGAAAGGAAAATCCGACGTTTGGAGTCGGATGTTCCTAAAATTGTAGCCAGAGCTTCATCCCAATCAGGTAACTTTTTAATTAGTGTTTTGTTACTTGAGATTAACTGACTTTTTCGAAAACTCAATCCTCTCTTTAATATCTTTATTCTAGATAAAGAGAAGATTGGGAATACGTTTAGGTGTTTCCACACCCGTTCTTGGAAGAAACTTCTATCCTTTGAGTGGTGGATGCCTGAAGTCAAGAAGATGTACATCAGTCATTCATTCAACTCCTCGCAGGTTTGACTATTTGCATCCTTAAACAATCGATTTCGAAAAATCTTTTTTTTCTTATGCATCTTCTTTCATTAGGGAAACTCTGGACCTGAACGGCATCATCAACTATTACGAAGAGGAACTTGCCAAAGTTTCCAAGAGAGCTGCTATTGCTGAAAAAGAGATTGAGAAACTGCAATCTTCCAATCAGCTCGTGCAGGAGACTATTGGCCTTGACTCGGCTCGTCAGAAAGATATCGAGCGACTCAAAAAATCTGACCAGGAGACGAGGAAGATTTTGATTGAAACTGAGCAGAGGCTAGAGACTGCTCTTGCTGATCATATCCTTGCCATGAGCGAGATCGAACTCCTGAGATCAGAGCTTGATAGGGTCAAAACAGCTGCTGAGTAGCTCGAGCGCAAAAATCAGTCTCTTTCCGAACTGAATGATCGAGATGTTTGCAAATTATCTCACGATGCTCGGAAAGAGGTCAAAGGAGATGGGCAAAAGTTTCTTCTTGCTGTGCAGGAATTTGTCACTGTAGATAAAGCTTGGAACAAACTCAGCTCCGAACGTGATGAGATGAAGAGCAATCTCGATCTGATCAAGGAGATAGAGGAAGGATCAGTCAATTTGGCTGAAGAGAAGGAGAAAGTAGGCGCTGAGCTCGCTGAGACTGAAGCTAAGCTAGCTAATGCTCCCCAGCCATATTTGGATTTGCAGCAGTTTGCTTCTGAGTTCGCTGATTCCCCTCCATCGACTGAACCAAATATTGGTTTGTCTTTGGATGAAATGATGTTAACCGGTTCTCATCGTGCTCATTTCGATGAGTTTGGAACCAATGTTGACAAAATATCTTTGGAACGAACTCAGGGATTCTCTGGTAAGGATTCCGCCACTTCCTCGATTATGGAAGATGACTCCGAACCGAGGAGCGAAACTCCCCAGGATGCTAGCTCGCTTATCCCTGAGGTGGTTTTCGAGACTCAAGATGCTACCGCCGGGGGTGCTCCTGTCTCAAGCCAAGTAGGAGATGAAAGCGGTTCGCCTATGAATGATTGATGGTGATTGTATTCACCTTTTATGGGGATTGTTTCTTTAATTTTTAAGACATGAAATTTGCTTTGTTGGCCATGGGGCCTTTTATCTCTTTTCGAGTTTTCTGCCCAAGGGGGCTTTTTTTTTTTTTTTTTGTTGTTTTGAATAATTTGCCTAATGGGGTTTTTAATAAAAATTTCTTTAGGAAGAAATATTAAATTTTGGTGGAAACCATCGATTTTACCTAGAGGGTTTGCAAAGTC